GGGAGGGGAGTCTACCTGAATCTTTTGCCTCGAGCCGGCTCACAACACTCGAAATTTGGCTCATTTGGTTCTCCAAATTTTGAATGCTAGATTTAGTCGTTTCTTGAAATTGGGTCACACTTTGTTGTATCGTTGATACACTCATGGTAAGTGCTCGAATCATGTCTTCAGTGGACATATTTGAGCTTGAAGTTTGGCCTTGGGAGGGCTGGTTGTATTGTTGGGAAGAAGAATTTGGTTGTTGAGGATTTCCATACCTTAAATTTGGATGATCTCTCCATCCTGGATTGTATGTGTTGCCATGCGGATCGTACCTCCTTTGACCTTGGAACCCCAATGCATTGACTTGTTCGGGATTCTCCTCTTGTAGTGTTGGGCAAGAATCGATGGGATGCCCTTGTGTTGAACATATGCCACAGACCTTGTCTTCTTTTGTTTTTGGATTTAAGAGAAAATCTTTAACCAAAGAAGCCAAGCCGGCCACTTGACTTTCCAACAAGGTATTAGATTCTGCCGCCATAACTCGTTTTGATGATCGCCGATCATAGTGTCTACAATTCTCGGCCAACTCCGAGATAAGATTCCTAGCTTGAGAAGGGGTTTTGTTTACAATTCCTCCTCCACATGCAGCGTTGATCATCCGCTTATCATCATTGCAAAGACCATCATAGAAGTATAGGATTAGGTCTTGCTCCGAATAGCCGTGGTATGGACAGCTTGCACAAAGTTTCTTGAATCGTTCCCAATATTCGTAGAACGATTCATCATCTTTCTGCTCTACATTGCTGATTTGCTTTTTTAGAGATGAGGAGACAGGGGCAGGATAATACCTTTCGAGGAAAGCTTTCTTCATGGCCACCAAGGTACCTATACTTTCCGAAGGAAGATAGAATAGCCAATCTTTTGCGGTATCTTTTAGGGAGAATGGAAAAGCCCTCAACTTAATTTGCTCCTCTGTAACACCGTTCGGGCACATGCTTGTGCAAACGATGTGGAATTTCGAAAGATGTTTATTCGGATCCTCGTCCCGTAGACCATGGAATGAAGGAAGGAGATGGATGAGCCCCGATTTGAGCTCAAATGTAGCACCTTCATCAAGAGTAGAGAAGGTGATACATAGCGGTTGTTAGTTAAGATTAGGAGCCGTGAGCTCCCTCAATGTTCTCGTTTCAAGAGCCATAGTGATTGGATCTTCGGTGTTGCTAGAATGAGAACTATCACTTGATGATTCCTCCGAAGAAGTATTCAGAAATAAATTCCTAAACCTCTCGAAGGTTAGTTCTGTTTCGGGCTTTGTTTGGTAGGTGATTTGGTTTATAGATCGGTGTTTAACCATATACTCAAATAAAGCTCAGAAGGATAGAAATCTAAGAACTCTTTATATTTTGTTTATTTAATTTTTTTTTTCTTGAAATAAAATAAAAAGAAAAATTAATTGCCTTCCCCGGCAACGACGCCAAATTTGACGAGCACTTTGTCACGGTGCGTCAAAATAAATTCAATACTAAATACTTATACATAGTATAGGTGAAGTAGAGTTCGTATTCACAGGGATGGGAATAATTCTCTTTTTATGAAACTTAGTAAATAAAGGGGGGATTTGGATTGAGTGATTTAATTTAATTAAAAACTAAGATGAACGACCTATATGAGATTTAATTCAAAGATAAAAAGGGCTTGACATTGCTACTTTCCACTTGTTGATATATTTTAGTCGATCATTGTTATATCTATAACTTATTCCATCTCGAATACTCAATCGGGGAGTATATCCACTTCATCGAGGGTAGTTATTAACAACAACCGTTCATTAATAACCCTTACTATTAATCAAATATAGAACAACGTCTTATACCGATTTAATAGTAGCATTTAATCTTTCTAACTCCTTGATGAAATCAATTGAGATTGATAACCTCAACACAACGGTTTCGGTTTAACCAACAAAATTAATCCCTCTTAAGTTTATTAACCACGACCGTGCATTAATAAACCGAAGTTACTTACTTATGAAACCATCAACGATTAACCATCGGTTCGTTGATCGTTTCTAGTAATAATTAATATATGAAACAAAACTAGTTGATCCTTTAAGTAATGTTCAAAATATTAATATGAAATATGAATAGGAATTAATTAATATTCAAGGAAGAATATTATTAAAGAAGATGAATCCTACTATAATTAATATCAAGATGTTAACTAATTGTCATCTTAGCAACACTCTCCAACATTAATATAGAGGAAGAAAATACCATTCTAACTAATGTTGAGATGTTAACTAATTGTCATCTTAGCAACACTCCCCAACATTAATATAGAGATGGTATTAAGGAAAGCACTATTAATTAATATTCAAGGAAAGAAGTTAAGAAAATAACTCACAACTTTAATAATCAACAAGCTTCAAGAGCAACACCAAGAATTGGAAGTTTAGCTCCTCATTTGGAGACTAAACATAGCTAGAAAAATATAAATAAATGATATTCTAAACTGAGCTTAAGAGTATGGAAGAAGGGATGAATAAAAGTGAAGGAAAATGGAGCTATTTATAGGTGTTTTACAACACTTTTGGTCGGGTGCCCGACTGGGTAAAGAGCCCACCCGACCGGGTGCAACTCCCGGGTCAAATCCGACCCGACCGGGTGGTATAGGGGGCCCGACCGGGTCTGTGCAATTTCCAGTCTCCTTCGTTTGTTAAATCTTGCCCGACCGGGTCAAGTGTTTATGCCCGGTCGGGTTTCAGCTCCTCAACAGTCCAATCTCCTTTTGCTTCACTTCAAAGTCCTCTTTTTAACACCATAATGCCTAATTCTACTTTACAACGTAACTCACAAATGGGGATTAAAATACAATTACAATTAAAATCAAACAAATGTTCTCAAATTACTAAAACGGTAAACAATCCACACAAATCAACACTACTACATTTTTTATGTTTCCATACAAAGAATATTTGTAGGGAAATGTCAATTTTTGTAGCCAAAACATTTTGCAGACAAATTTTTTTTGTGGCGAGCTTTGTATGGAAATCATCGAAGCGAAAGAGTTTAGACGACAAAATTCATAACTTTGTCGACTAAAGTATAGGCATACAACACCTTGCTAGACAAATAAAATTTGTCACCCAAGTGTTTTTACCACAACTATATTTGTATGCTCTAAATGTTTTTAGCAACAACAAATTATTGTATGGGAAGACCTTTGTAGATAAAGTATATATTTGCCCACAAAAAAATATTGTATGGAAAGACCTTTGTATGTAAATTTTATAAGGAAGATGTTCATTAATAAATTTTTGTGATTTGAATGATTTGGGAGGAACGATCATGAGCAACACATATTTAAACCAATGCATAATAAAATGTACTAACTCCAAGTCTCCAAATCACCTCCAAATGAAATATTACAATTTGAGTTCAAACACATACTTATCACATAATAAAGTGGAATGTGTAACATAATTGAAATTAAAAACGTAGTCAATGTAATGTTTCGTTCATCTAAAAACTTAATATAGTAACTTATGTAGGACGAACTAGTCATCCATGATAGTGGCATCCTCATGTTCTCCACCATCTTCAAGAGAAAAAGGAGTGAATGGTGGTATATCAACACCCACTTGCATTAATGATTGATGCCAAGATTGAAGTGTAGAATTGAATTTATGCCCTACATTCCTCAATGTGTTTTGCATCTTTTCTTCTGCCTCTCTACGAGCTGCATCAGCAGCCTTTCGTGCTGCTCGTTCTACCTCCAATTCTTTTTCTAAGTGTTTCACTTTTTTAGATGTTGGCTTTGTCTCTCGTAGGCGACCTGGTGTGGAACCTAAAACAGACGTCATAATTTCAAGCACAATATCAGGATCATCGACAGGTATCTCATTCAAAGGGGTGTCTTCAGGAAGGTTATATTCCTTTGCCTTCTCTACGAGATACTCATTAGCCTTGGCAACCATTTGTTCCTATAAGCATTACAAAAGCATATGCAATTTTCAGTAACAAAGTGATGAAAGAATTGAAATGTATATTAGATGTTTTATCTTACATGTTGTTCTTTTGTTGCATCGTTAGTCCAACGTTTGTCTTTTCCTGCATATGTTAGCTCAAACGCAGCAACTTCCGGGAACTGTGAGCCATCCTAGTATTCAATATAAATTTGTAACTAGTTTATAACTTTGAAAAGAATGATTTAAAAATTCTGGTGCAATTAAAATTACTTGTATAACTAGTGTATAACGATTTTTTTAGAAAAAGTTGCTCCAATGGGAGGTGAAATGACTAATTAACAACCAGATGCGTTCTCCACCTAACCTTATAGGTTAGAACTAAATTTACAAATAGAATTGCTCACTTGCAAATATTTAATACTCCTATATATTAAGAAAGACAAAGAGAGTGCTTAAATATTATATCATTCAAAGAAAAAAACAGCAGCCCCAACTATTTTATCTGTTGATCCAAACAACCCTACCACCCTAACTTGAGAATTGAATGAATTTTAACTTAACATGCTACAAATCACAACAATCAAAGTAATTACATGTGCACCATTCTTGCACTAAATTACATAGAATAAATCATCAGGTGTGTGCGCGGTAACTAAATTTCTGTTTTTGAATGATAGAGACAAAGAGCAGGGAAAAGAAAAAAAGAAAGCTTTTATATGGAATAACTGAAAAGTGAATTACAGTATAGATTTATAAATAACTTACCGCAAGCATATCCTCTACTATGTATGAGAGAGGACGTGAACCAGTACGATGATTATCCTTCTTATTAGAACGGTTACTAGTGTTTGCAGATGATGAATTCTGAAATAATGAGTAAAGTAGTGTAATATTAAATTACAAAAAATAATGGAAATAAAAAAAGTAAAAGTTATTACCTTGAATTTATCTGAGTTGAAATGGTTACACAACCATTCCCATTCATTAACATCTCTATCGGCCATCTCTTCAGGGGGTGAAGCAAGTGCATTGGCATGCGTTTTACAAGTCTTGTAATACTTACTCAGTTCCGCCTTGTATTCTCTGTACCTTCCATTGTATAACCTATTGATGTATTCGCTAATATCTGGATCTTCAAAGTTGATCTTGAAATTTGTCTGATATTAATTATAAAAAGTCAGATCAATACGAATAAAATGAAATGATATTGTACCAACACACCTATAATACAAGACGACACCCTACTGTAGCCATAAAAGCTTTCAACATTAACGACAACATCTAAGCTTTAAAGCACCAAAATAAATGAAAATATACAGATCAAATGGATTATTTTTCATGTAGCTAACTCACAGTGATCTCATCCATAAGGTCTTTTCTCTTTTCAGGAGAAAGTTTCCCCCAGAAACCTGTATCCATGGGACAATGTGATCGAATGATAGCTCCAACATCATGAACCAGGAGGCTATGTATCTCAGCACTTGTTGCTCTCCTGGTAACTTCGTTGTACGGAACTTCAATTCTATGCTTACTAAGATGAACGAGACGAGATGTCTTTATTTGTTTACAAGGTCCCCGCCCACGTTTGTCAACCTCAGTTCTTGGAAATTCCTCTGCATCTACTCACATTAACAATGATGAGCTTAAAAGTTAGTAAGTGTTTATGTGTGTTTTTGGGGGGTATTCTAAATGCCAGCTTAATATACATCATACCATCCTCTGTTTCAACTTCATGACTTGATGATATAAAAGTATTTTCTTCAGTCCTGTGTAGTCCACGACGCTCTGATTCACCTGTTGTGACAATTTTAAAAAAACACCACATAAATCTTATCAGAAGTAATGAGTAAAAGATCATTTTTGCCTTTGATATTCCAATATTCTGACATACTAAAACAATGACGATAATCTAATGTACTGCAAATTTAAGCTTTGCTGGTGGAGATGTTATTATGCCTAGCATATAGCCATATTTGTAATGTACTACAAGTTTAGGCCTTTCCAGTTGCATTTCTCCTTTATAAAAGTATTACTTGAGAAATAGAAGGAAGAAATAAAAGTCCAAAAAAAGTCAAATAACGGTTGGGCAAGCTCCAGCATATAAAAATCAGAAAATTATCTAGAATATAATAAGTAATCTGGGCAGTGAGATTTACGTAATGCATACCTTCTCCATTTTTATCATGATTATGATGAGGCCGAACATCACCAACATGATCAGGTGGAGGTTGAGATTTATCACTTGAAGGGCCACTTTGCATATTTTTACAAGAAAGAACCATATTATTTTGCCTAGAATGACCAGTTCCAAATATAATACCACGAGTAGTACTGTTTGACTGAGTTTTATTTCCAAGGGAGGAAGTCATGAATGCACTTTCAGGTAGTTTAGGAGAAGGTGTAGATTTCATTGGTGCTACCTTATCTGATTTGGACACCTCAAATACATTTCGAGTGGGTGTAGCTTTTTTTGAAACCATATTACCTGTTGGAGAGGACTGAAATGATTTCAAAGTTTGATTTGGATAAGAAGTCGGAGCTTGGCACCTGCGATTATTCACACCATATCTCAATAGTAGAGGATCAAATTCAAGGGGCGTTGTCTTATCCAAATTGGACATCTCAGGCAATTTAGGGACTGTTGCAGGTGACATCCTAGGCACTTTTGATGTTGGCATGACCTTTGAGCTCCCACTGCGTTTCTTTTGTGAAACCCTGTTCATCTGCTCAAATAGAGAAACAACCAAATCCTATTGACTGAATATATGAAATCATTATAATTAAGTTTAACAATTAATGTAACTTTATATTGTAACTTCATGTCCAAAAGCGTAAACATTATAAAATATTGAAGATAGTGTAAAATACATTTAAATAAAAAGCATTTAAATAAAAAGCTTAAAAGCATTCCAATGTAAAATCATCATCTTCATCACTTCCCTCCTCATCACTAAGGGTCTCTAAATCAATCATGGTGGGAGGAACGTCGTCTACATGTAATGTTGTTTGTATGGATTCATAGTTTCGACCATGAGACATATCAGGCACATCAGAAGAACTTTCTTGATATGCATCATCACTATCATCATCAGTTTCAAGATTGGCTTCAACATCTGGTATGTCATAAATGCTTCTATGACTCATCTTTAGTGCTACTTTCCAACTACCACCTGCTTTGGGATCATTGACATAGAAGACTTGTTTCGCCATTGTAGAAAGAATAAACGGATCACTGTCGTACCACCTAGTTTTAGTGTCAACTGATATTAAGTGGTAATCACGTTTTATACTTCCTGCCTTAGCGCTATCGGTGTTGTACCAATGACATTTAAACAGTAGAACCTTGTACCGTTGTCTATATATCAATTCAATTACACTTGTCAACTTTCCATAATAGCCGACATCACAAGTGTCATGGCTTCCCGGTACATGGACACCACTATTTTGTGTGGTTAGTTTGTCATCTCGTTCTGCAACTACAAACTTTACTCCATTTACAACGCATCCTTGATATGTTTCTGCTCGTAGAGGCCCTCTTGCTAACTCAAATAGCTCCTCATTATACAATGGGGAATTTTCATCTCCTAATCTTCGAACCTAAGAACATTTCAGATTACAAATACCCATTATACGAACTGGTAATCTAGAAGTAAGGCTTACTAGATACTCGCAATTACTGGAACTAATATGTAACTAACCCGTTCACGAAACCAAGATGGAAATAATTTTCTGTGTATGTTATCTATGTTCACAGCATTTCTGAGCATCATTATTGCCTTATGCTCCCTACATCCAAACAACTTAGTGTATTTGATATAAATATAGATTTGTATATAAGACTAAAACTTTGATCATACTTACTCTAAGAATGGAATAACCTCATCACAGTTGGTTAGTATGAACCAATGAGCAACCTCCATGTCACTACTAGAAAATGGAATGCTTGAACAGCTCATTATTGGGCGGGATGGTTGAGCAAAAACAGAAAGTTTCTCGTGCCTAGGACCACCATCAAAGTTCCGTTCACTCTTGTTGAATGGTGTCTCCACTTTGTGAAGATACATTGCACAAAAATTCAGAGATTCTTGGGAGACGTAAGCTTCGGCAATTGATCCTTCAGGTCGAGCTTTGTTACGCACAAATTTTTTGTACTTTCCAAGCATCCTACAGTTGATACAAAGGCAGGTTGTTAGAAAAATCAATTACTCGCTATATAATAATATTATTTTGAAAATAACTTTAAAAGTTAACAGTAAATACTAACCTTTCTATTGGGTACATCCACCGTTCGGTCACAGTACCTCCTTGTCTTGCTTCTTCCGGTAAATGCACCATTAAATGAATCATAGAAACAAAAAACGATGGAGGAAATATTTGTTCAAATTTGCACAATATGTAGACAATCTCATCTTGCAACTTTTGAATATCTGCAGTGCATATTGTTTTTGAACATAACTGCTGGAAAAAACTGGACAACCGAACAATTGGGTCAACCACTTCCTTGGGTAGGTATTTTCGGATACCAACAGGAAGTACTCTCTGAAGTAAGACATGATTATCATGACTCTTCAAGCCTATGATTTTTCCAGTATCCAATGACACATTTTTTGAAATGTTTGCAGCATATCCATCTGGGTACCTCACTGATTTCAGAAACTGCAGAAACTCTGTCTTCGAAGTTGGCTTCATGGCAAAAAACGGGTGTTTTTTAACCCATTTATCCCCATCCCTCTGTAGCCATAATGATTCTCTTATTCCAAGTGCTTGAAGATCTTTGCGAGCTTTGAATGTATCTTTACTTTTCCTCTCTATATCTAATATTGTGCCAAGAATTATATCACAGACATTTTTCTCTATGTGCATTACATCTAAATTATGTCTGATAATTAACTTTGACCAATACTCTAACTCAAAAAATATGCTCTTTTTTGTCCAGTTTCTTTGTTCAAGAGTCCTCTTCCTCTTTTTGTCGGGGTTACATGGGTGTTTTCCTATTTGTCCAAACTCTAAGCTCTCTACTTGTGATAAAATTTCCTCACCTGAGAGTTTCTTAGGCTTTGCACGGAATTCCGGTTTCCCATCGAAAGACTTCTTATTTTTACGCCACAAAGTGTAATGGTACAAAAATGTTACATTTTCTCTGAAAAGTGTTACATTAGAGAAAATGTAACATTTTTTTACAATTACATTTGATGGTGTTGCATTTGACCTATTGTAACACTTTATAGTACCTAATGTAACACTTATACTTCTAGAAAGTGTTACACTAGGTCTCAAAAGTGTTACATTAGAGAAATAGGTAACACTATTATAGATATGTTACATCATTAATGTTACATTAGGTCTAAAAATGTAGTAGTGAAAACTAATAAAATATTTAAAAAATAAAATATAAAGAAAATTGAAAAAAAATAAAAAAAATAGTAATTGCCCATGAAAAATATGGATGTCTTTCTCACCGCCTCCCAACACCACCACCTTCAATCGGTGAAAAAATGTCACTTTTTGTAAAAAAAAATGTCATTTTTTCTGAAAAATGTCAAGAAAATAGCATTTTACTCTTTAATAACACTAAAATGTTCATTGGATTTGCCATCAATATGACATTGCTAATGCATGTTGACATTTTTTCTGCTGATCGGAGCTGGTGGTGCTAGGGTGGTAGAGGTGGTGGTGAGTTTTTAAAGTTTTTTTTATTTTTTATTTTTCTATTTATTTTTTTCTATTTATTTTAATCTTTTATTTATAATTTTTATTTTTCTATTTTTTTGTTTTTGTTAATTGCTTAAAATATTTATTTTAGTTCAAAAAGCTACATGAATGTATTTGTCCAACACTACAAAAAAACACGCCGTTTGTCACGGATTTTGTCACGGACGGTAGTTCAAAAAATCCGTGACAAATGATTTTTTGTCACGGATTTGTCACGGATCCCATCCGTGACACCAGGGGCGTGATAACGTTTTTGTCACGGAAATTAATCCGTGAGATTGTTTGTCACGGATTTGTCACGGCCACGGTCCGTGACAAAACACTTCACCGGAATCCCATCGCCTTTCATTTGTCACGGACGCATCCGTGACAAATGTTTTTATTTTTCAAAAAAAAATAATTACTTGTCACGGAAATATCCGTGACAAATTTAAAAAAGGTTTTTCAAAATAGAGTGGGCGGGTATTTGAAACGGTCCGGAAAATTCAAATTTTAATTTTTGTCACGGACATATCCGTGACAAAATATTTTGAAAAAAAATTGAAAATTTTAAAATAGAGTGAGCGGGAGCTTTAAAATTTTCAAAAAATTCAAAATTTTGAATTTGTCACGGATCCCATCCGTGACAAAACATTTTTTTTAAAAAAAAATACGTTAATTTAGCGTGAATTTATATTTTGTCACGGAACAGTCCGTGACAAAAGTTTAAATTTTTTTAAAAAAAAATTTAAAAATTCAGCGCATTTTTAAAAGTTTATTTCAAAAGTTTATTTAATAAAAATAACCATTAAAATTTAGGAGCTTTTTCAAAAAATTAATCTTAATAATAAATAGTTAAACAATAATCATAATAAATAATTGTTTATAATAAATAATTAAACAATCATCATTAATCACAATCATCATAATAAATAATAATCTAATCAAACCATCATTATAAAACACAAATAAACTATTATTTAAACACAATCAAACCATTACACATTAATATTCATACATTAACACATCAAAATTTTAAAATCCTTAAAATGTTAATAAACTAATTATTACAAACCATCAATGGTCATCATAATCAGCATCAGCATCATCAGGTTCGTCACGATGATCGGATTGCCTTCCGTGGCCACGGCTGCCACCACGATGACCGCCTCGACTGCCACTGCGGCTGCCAGCACGGCTGCTGCCACGGTAAGCTTGAGCTCCGGGAGTCGGGATATCGTCATAATATCCATATGGAAAGTTGTTGGAGATGTGGCTATAATTAGCAAAACCCCTACTACCCATACTGCCCATATTGCCCATATTGCCCGCGAAGGGAACTTGTGGGGTCATCTCGGGGTGCTGTATGTGCATGGATGGACGGTAGGTGGCGTTGAAAATACGCATTTGGCGTTCCATCTCTTCTAACCTTTCTCTGGTTCTTCTTTGCTCTTCATCCCGTATCCGAGCTTCTTCATCCCGCCTTCGAGCCTCGGCTTCACGTTCCTCCAATAGTTTCTCGAGGCGGGTAACCCGATCATCATATGCCGAATGAGAAGATGAGCTAACTCTTTTGGTCTTCTCGAGGATCCGTACGCCTTCAGAACCCATAAACAGCACCCGGCCCTTGTAAACTCCGGTTGCCGCCAAGATGGCTTCATCATCTTGATTTTCATCAAGTTCGTCATCAGAATCAGCTAGCTTCATCATCTTGATTTTCACTGTGAATTGAACATAAAGATATTATTATAACACTCTAATTATTAAAAAAATATTAGCTATATTACAAATGTAACTACCAATTCAACTTACTTATAAAATGGTAAGATTTCTGGACAATTCATGAGGATGTAAGTATGTGCAATTTTCATTTCTCCGCCCACGATGTAACGGTAAGTCGCAGCTCCTTTACCTCTACCTGGGTAGTTGAAAATAGAAACTACTTTATCATATGAATCCTCGCCAATGTCATCGTTCCGAGCAGGTCTCTTTCTTTTACTGATTACTTCACGCTCAAAATAAAAAGATGAAAACGTTGAGGTTTCTTGTTGAATATATGCTTGACAAATTGAAGCCTCAATGTGTGCCTTGTTGGTCGCTTTCTTTTTCAAATCTCCCAGAAATCTGTCATGCAAAATAAAATTTGTAAACAAACAAATGTTCTTATTAAACAAATCATCGTTTATAAATGAAATTATGACTAACCTTTCAAATCTGTACATGCAACGATAGAAGACGGGCCCTCCATTCAAAGCCTCATACGGAAGATGTATTAGAAGATGTTCCATTACATCAAAAAATGATGGGGGCAGTATCTTTTCCAGATTACACATCAGAATAGGAACAGTGTCTTCTAGTCTCCTCAGGGATTCGGCATCCAAAACGGCGGAACATATCGACTGAAACAATTGACTGATTTCGGTAATACAGCCCCAGACGTCTGCAGGAAGCATCTCTTTCAGTGCAATCGGCAGAAGTCGTTGCATGATTACATGAGCATCATGAATTTTCATGCTCGACGTCATTGTTTGTTTGTCCAGGTCCACGCATCTTGACAAGTTAGAACAATAGCCATCTGGAAAGTTCAGAGAAACAAGCCACTCTAATATTGATTCCCTTTGTGGGGCTGTGAGTTGGTAGACTGCTCTTGGAATTTTTTTACCCACGTATTCTAGATCGACGGCGAGTTCGGGTCTGTCGCACCAAATTGTCATGTCTTTTCTAGATGCAAGACCATCTTTGGTTTTGTGGGTAAAATCCATAACCGTGTTAAATATATTGTCAAAGACGTTCTTCTCAACGTGCATGACATATAAATTGTTACGAATGAGAAGGTCCTTCCAATACGGCAACTCCCAAAATATACTCCTCTTTGTCCACTTATGGGTATCACATTACCCATTTGGCTCCCCGTGGGGTTGCTGCACGGCCGTAGGAAAACGTCGAACCCGGTTAAAAACTTGTTCACCTGTAAGTCTCGGAGGAGGGGGATCTCGTACCACTCTTCCGGCAATAAAAGACTTCTTGTCCTTTCGATATCGATGGTTCATAGGCAGAAACTTGCGGTGACAATCAAAGTAACTTGGTTTCCCGCTAAATTTGAGCCAATTGGCCTCTGATTGATCCATACATATCGGACATCCCATAAGACCGTGTGTGCTCCATCCTGAAAGCATACCATAAGCAGGGAAGTCGCTAATGGTCCAAATGATGGCAGCTTTCATGAT